CACTTGGTCGTGCCTTCTCCTGGAACTGGCGCAGCACACGCGAGTGCGATATGATTGGAAAAAAACCAAAAAAGAGTTCCGGCCATCCGAGTGTCTGCGGTGACGATGCATTTAATTTCAGCCTCTGCCACCCTCACAGATCTCAAACCCACACGCCCCAAACCCCAAACCCTAAACCCTAAACCCTAAACCCTATAACCCTAAACCCTAAACCCTAAACCCCAAACCCCAAACCCCGAACCCCACCACGCAGAAACTTAGATCCTGCATCGGGAGGCCTGGCTACTGACTGGACACCCAAAGTGTGTAGAATAATAGGTTTTTAGGGGTTTAGGGTTTAGGGTTTTTAGGGGTGTTGGGCCATTCTTTTACCTACTTTTGGGGGGTTTAGGTACTGACTGGCTTAGTGGTTTTGGCAAAGGTTCTGGGTTTCAGGGGCTTCAGGGATGTGGGGACGAGTGCGCACTTTCTGGGGGCTTGAAAGTTGCACGCCAGCATACCCTAAGCCTTAAACTCCTAAACCCATAAACCCGCAAACGGGCGAGGGTGTTGGGATTTGAGGTTGGCGCTTCGGGGTCTTGAGGTTCAAGTGCAAGCAAGGCTTGAAGCAATGCAGGGGCCTTAATAGTTACAAACACTATTTCGGGGGCTCCCTATTATAGTTATATGTAGTAGAAAGGCCCCCAAAGCCCTATTCCAATTACTAAGGCCCCTATATCATCTGGTTTTGGGTGTAAGGGTTGGGTGACGGAGCTCAAACATCTTTGGGCAGTTGAGGGGGCCTGAAGACTTAATATAGGAGCCTAAAGAACTACCAATATTACTGTTACTGTTAGGGTTCCTTATTATAATATATACAATAAAGGAGCCCAACAGCCTATTGTAATCATTAAGGCCCCTACATCAGTTTAGTGGCTGTGTGTTTTTGGTACGTTCGGTTTAGGGCTTAGGGGTACGGCGTCTAGGCTGCTTTTGATGTTGCTTCAGCGGTGTCTTCGGGTGTTGATGAGTATATGTCGGGCGGTGAACAGCGATGATGTGTGCATGTTCTGGTATTCTGTCCAAGTAATACAAACCTTAAACACACATCTTCACATGTCGCACCATCCTGACCCCAGAACAATCGATTTCAAAGCCAACGGCTCTAGACAAGTCTGTAACCTAAACACGACCAGGTCAACGACAGACCCGAAACCCTAAACTCCAGGACCTTCAAACGAAGCTTCGCCATCCGATGATACTGAAATCCTAAACGCAACCAACTTCCTAAACCCGGTCAAGGAGCCCGGTTGCTGAACCCACGCTTTCGAAGCTCACTAAGTCTGCTCCTAAGAGTTGACATAGGCTGAGGCTTCTTGACAAATGGGGTTAGGGCTTCGGGTTTAGTTAGGGTTTAGGTTGACGGGGTCGATTGTTTTGAGCTGGGCTAGGGTAGAATGGCTGAGGAGATGCTAGGAGTTCAAAGTTTCGGGTTTGGGGTTTTGAGTTTACGGTCTTGGACGTCCGGTCTTTTCGTTCAGGCTAAGCTACGAGTTTAGGCTGCAAAAAAGCAGATGGTTCAGGGCTGCCGTACTGTGCTCCCGGCGACATCCGTCCACGTGGGCCTAAACCCTAAACCCTAAACCCTAAAATCCAAAACCCTAAACCCTAAACCCTAAACCCTAAACTCTAAACCCTAAACCCTAAACCCTAAACCCTAATCAAGAGCAAGCTCCGAAGTGAGGGGTCTCAGAGCTTAGCTTCCATAGTTCAACCCCCAACGGATTTGGGAGCTAGGATTAGGGGGACCCTTGGGGATATAGACCCTCTCAATCAGGTCCCTTTTAAGAGGGCCAAAAGTAGGGTTCAGAAGGGGTACCCTTTAAGGGGTACCCCTAATAATCCTACCTAGGATTTCCAGTGTCAGCTACGAGGATGTCGTAGCTTCCTATACCTAAGGCTCTATGTGGGAGTTTCCGAAAATTAGGGGTACCGTATTTTGGGGTCCTTATATTAAGGATCCTATTATTTAGGGTGCTATAGGGTCCCCTATTTTCAGAAACCCCCATGTACCCATATAGTAGATACTTAGGCCTTAAAGTACCTATATAGGGACCCCTTTAAGGCCTAAGTATCTACTATAAAAGTACATGGAGCCTTTGGGTAAACTCTAAACCCTACAACCCTAGACCATAAACCCAAAACGAAGCTTGTTCAGCAAGGTTTTGGGTTTGGGGGTTAGGGTCTAGAGGTTCGGGGTTGTTAAGGTTTCAAGGCTTGGGAATAATGCATGGGTCTATGAAGTTAAAGTCTAAAGATGTCTAAAGTGTAGTATGTTGTCATCAATCCATATACGGTTTTACTGTAATGTGTGGTGAATTTTGTGCCATCTAGATTGTTCCCAACGGTACACCCTGCGCAAAGAATTCGTCAGTCCGAGTATAACGCCATGCATGGGCAGACCCTTGGCCCTAAACCCCTAAGCCAGAGTTTAGGGTTTAGGGTTTGGGGCCCAAAAGCTTTGTATGATAGGGTCCTTGAGCCCAAAAGCCTTAAAATATGAGTCTTTTGAGTGTAAACGGTTGTAAACCCAAAGCACCGCGTCGCCCTCCATGTCTAACTAAGTGAAACCGTTGAGTTCTTGCGTCCAAGTGCCAACATGTAGGTACTTGGGTTTCAGTTAGTGCGGTTGATGATATAAATCCTGCATTACCCATCATTAGGAATATACCATAATTCCCATGGCTTAGGGTCCTTAAGGTAATGCAGGGTTTATATCATCAACCGTAGTAGTACTGGTTGGTCAAGCTTTGGACCCTGAGCCGTAAGCCCGAAAGCACTACAGTAGGCCCTCGCAGACTCCAAAACCCTAATTTCAAGTCGTAATACTGGGCCCATATGCGGAGCTTAAGACATACTTTTTATTTCCGGTATGGGTTTTAGTGTCCCTGCGCTTGTAGTCTCGAAGCCCTATACCTATCGTAGCCCCAAAACCCCGCAACTAAATCCTCTCCGCCAGGAAAGAAAAAAGAATCATCGTTGGAACTGCCACAGTGCAACCCATAACCTAAACATTTTAAAAAAAAACTACACCCTATAAACCCTAAACCAAACCATGAATCGAAGAGCTTGAGAGCCCCAAGCTTAAGTAAAACACGAGACCACGAAGCTGAACCGCTGAGCCCCAAACGCTACTTGTGGCCCCAGTTTAAGTGGCAGAATCCAGGTTACATGATATTGCCTTATCTCATGTTATAGTAATTCTCTCTCTCTCTCTATATATATATACATATATATATATATTTATATATTAGTGTATTGGTATTATATCATATAGAGAATTTCCTGTCCTGGGTGCACCGTCTACTTGCGAGGTCATTGCCTGCTAGCTTGCAGGGCTTCGGCCTGCAAGTACACCAAACCCATGGAACCCGGACCCCGCATCGGAAGCCCGCGTCCGTGAGGCTTTTCACTGCGGCACAGCAGAGGAAGCATGAGGCACATCTGTTCGGGACTATAGGGGCGAAATAATTAGAACAAGGTTTTGGGGCCCATTATACTCTAATTAAACAAGGAACCCCCAAAATAGTGTTGGTAACTATATAGGCCCCGACATCAAGGGCATTGGGTTGGGACTAAGGGCATAGGGTTGGGAAGTAGGAAGCAACGTTTAGGAATTAGAGTTACGAACTGTAGAGGATCGCTACAGTTCCTGACACACCAATAAATACCCTCAACCCTAGCCCGAAACCCTAAATCCCTGAAGCAAAAACAAATTTAAACCAATCCTAAATCTCGAAACCGCATATAAGCCCCTGAACCCTAAACCCCTAAACCAATCCTAAATCTCTAGTGGTGTTGTTTTTTTGTTGCATTCCAACGCTGGAATTCCAATCATTCAGTAACCCTATATTGCCCCTAAGCCCATCCTAAACCCATAAAACCCTAACCCCAAACTCTATACAAGCCCCTACCCAGCCTAAACTCCTAAACCCCTAACCCCAAACCCTAAGAAACAATAAGCCCTGAACCCGGAAACCAAGCCTAAACCCCTAAACCCTAAACCAATCCTAAACCCCTAAAACCTTAACCCCAAACCCTATATTACTACCGCTAAACCCTAAACACATCATAAATCCATAAAACCCTAACCCCCAACCCTATATAAACCCCTACACCCTAAACCCCCAAACCGAGCCTGAACCCCTAAACCCAAATCCCAAACCCTAACAACAAAAAATAAACCCTAAACCCCTAAACCAAGCCTGAACCCCCACACCCAAATCCCAAACCCTAAACAAACAAAAAAAACTAAACCCTAAACCCGTAAACCCCTAAACCAAGCCTAAGCCCCTAAACCCTAAACCCTAAATCCCTAAAACCCTAACCCTGTATAAACCCCTAAACCCTAAACCCTTAAACCAAGCCTAAACTATAACCCTAAAACCCCTAACACCCTAAACCCCTACCATCATCACGGGACGTTCAGCAGGTCTGAGGCTCTGGGCATCTGGTTGTAGGACTTCTGGCTTAAGGCTTAGGGTTTAGGGTTTAGGGCTTAGGGTTTAGGGGTTTAGGGGTTTAGGGGTTTAGGGGTTTAGGGCTTAGGGTTTAGGGTTTAGGGTTTAGGGTTTAGGGTTGTAGTAGTATAGGGCTTTTAGGGTGTATAGGGCGTCGGGCATACAGGGCTTGTAGGGTGGAGGGTTTATTCGGTGCATTTTAGGGTTTAGGGTTTGGGGCGTTTCACGTCATGGGCTGTGTGGGGTTTACCTATAACAAAGTATGTGGAGCCGCAGGTACGGTTTGTCATAGTATCGCTCAACCCTGAAACGCAACACCCAACACCTTTCATAGGTTAACCCTAAACCCTTACCCCCTGAACCCTATACCCTAAGCACTAAACTCTTGAAGGAACTGACAACCCCTAAAAGACCGACGTTCGCAACTCCAGGCCGACATCGTGGCACTGGCGAAGAAGCGCGCCCAGGCAGGATATTCTTTTTTCAGGGTCTAGTATTTAGGTTAAGGGTTCGGCTTTAGGAGTTTCGAGGTTTAGGGCTTAAGGGATACACGACGTTGCGTTATAGGTTTCATGAAAGACTACAATAATTCTTCTGCATCCGTTTCATGAGAAATAGTAGTATATGCTAGAAGGCAGGGCGCACAGAAAGGCAGCCAGATACCTGGCGAAACCGACAACTTACTTGATATTCAGTAATATCCATAATGGAACCATCCCAAAACTATAATTCCTTCACCTTCTTATAATTCTTAGAAAGTTATCGAACCTATACACACCCACACCTACATCTACACTTATTATTCGAATGTCTACACCCAAACCCTGAACCCATCGACTGGCCGCGAGTGGCAATTCGGTTACGCATGGATGCACGATTGGGGAAAAAGAACAATAGAAACCAAAACAACGTCAAGATAATCACGCAAACCACAAACTTTGGGTTTAGGATGTAACCCTGAGGGTCCATGTGCCCAGATTTTCGATATTTTTTGGCTTTAAAGTACTCCCTATATGGGTACCTTGGAGCCAAAGTCTACAGTATTTGGGCACATGGACCCTTAAGGTGATGTAAACAACCCTAAACCCTAAACCCCTGAAGCCCTAAATCCTAAACCCCTAAAACCAGTAAAGACAAACCTTTTAGGGCCTTGTTGTGACATCCCCAAAATCCGCCAGCTCCCTTTTTGGGGGTCCTTTTTATAAGGGTGCCGTACTATATTGGGGGCCCAAAAACGGACCCTAATTTAGAGAACTACCCTAAACCCTAAACCCTAAACCCTAAACCCTGAACCCTAAACCCTAAACCCTAAACACTACCCGTGTACAGATGATACGGCCGACTGCTGGCAGGAAGCGCAGGAAGCAGCTGCTGACGCCTCCGGGCTGGCGCCGGGCTTACGGGGCTTATTTCTTTTTTTCTCTCGAAACCCAAGAGGGTGTAGGGTTTAGGGGTTTAGGGTTTAGGGGTTTAGGGTTTATAGGGATTAGGGGTTAGGGTTTAGGGTTTAGGGGTTTGGGGTTTAGGGGTTTAGGGGTTTGGGGGTGTAGGGGTTTAGGGTTTTGGGGTTTCGGGTTTAGGGTAACCTGAACCCTAACCCCTAAAACCTATGGGTGCAGGAAGTCGGTGTTATGGCCTGGCTTCAGGGCATTAGCTTCGGGGTTTGGATCTGAGGTTTGGGGTTTATAGGCTTAGGGTTTAGGGTATATAACCCTAAACCCTAAACCCTAAACCCTAAACCCTAAACCCTAAACTCGAACGATCAGGGAGGACTCAGTAAGGTTGTAAGCAAGGTCTTAAGCCGGAGAACCGAGCTTAGGGTACTTGGAATCACTTTGTAAGTCTTGGCTACAAAAGGTTTAGGGGTTTAGGGTTTACGGGTTTAGGGTTTCGGGAACAGCTGAAGTTATTCTTTTGCAAGCTTACCAAGTTCAGTGTAGCATCAGTGTAGCAGCGGCTACTTAAAAGCTAGGGTGCCTGTTTAAACCCCAAAACATAATAGCCTCCGTACGAGTGCCAAGTTGCTGCCAGGAGTTCAGGGTCCTATAGTAACGCTAAGGGTCCACGTGCTCACGGTTTATGAGGTTTCAGGGCACCTAAACGGGGACTACTTTGAGGCCAAAGTATATACTATTTGGGCACATGGACGTTTAGGATTCTCGGGTTCTACTTGCCATGCCGGAAAAGCATGGTAGTGATGAGCGACAGCTCGCTGATCAAGGAGGGACCAGGTTTCAGGCTGCAGGATTTTTAGCCTAAGCCCTACAACTCGAAACCCCTAAAATCGCAGACCCTGATTACAGTCAGTTCTAGTCTACAGAGGGCTTCCCAACTAGATCCTGAAGTGCCTTAGTAGTGCAAGGCCAAAGGCACGCAAACAACTGAAAGCCCTGGCACCAAACCCTATCTATCCTCACGCCCGAACACTCAGCATTCTTTAGGGTTACAAGAGGGTTCTTCAAGAGGGTTTAGGGTTTAGGGTAGAATATTTGCAGGTGAGCAGTGGTTTTAAAATAAGCCCTCTTCTGCTTTCTCAGGCCCTTACAGTCTTACGGTAGTAAGTTAGGCCCGGGGCGGGGCGTGACAATTACGGCGCTTCATTCTGCGCTGCCCGAGGCGACTTCGTTGGAGGACAGCCGCGGTGGCAAGATGCCTGTAGGATTGAGGGCCAGGGTTGGTGGTTGAGGGTTTGTGGTTCAGGGTTTAGGGTTTAGGGTTTAGGGAGGGTTTGTGGTTTAGGGTTTAGGGTTTTAGGGGACGTTAGGGCTTTAGGTTTTCGGGCTGTCGGTTTTTTCTTGGCGTTAGGGTTTTGGGTTAGGTCCGAGTTGCAGGAGTTTCGTGACGGCTGGACGTTCTGCCGGCGTGTATACTACGTCCACTAGGTTTCCCAAGGGGCTGCAGCAGGAAAGTTTCGTGTTCTGCCTTCACCTTGAGGGGTTTAGCTTGACCATCGGTTAGTGATTCCTCATGAAGTGCGTTAGGCCTAAACCCTGAACCCGATACAACCCTAAAGACCTAAAGCCCTAAACCTTAAAACCTCAAACCGTAAACCACAGAAAGCCCTAAAGCTCTAAACCTTAAAACCTCAAACCCTTAACCCCAAAAGCCCTAAAGCCCTAAACCTTAAAAGCTCAAACCCGAAAGCCCTAAAGCCCTAAACCTGAAACCCCCCAAACCCAAAGCCCTATACAGCCCTAAAGCCCTAAAGCTTAAAACCCACAACCCTAAACCCGAAAGCAGCATCAAAACCCTAAACCCTAAACCCCTAAACCCTAAACCCTAAACCCTGAACCCCTAAACCCTAAACCCTAAACCCTGAACCCCTAAACCCTAAACCCGGAGCCTTCAGTTCGTGGCCCTTTCCAGGACGTGCTCCAGGGCACCAAGGAAAGCGAATCAGGGGACTGGCCGGGGTTTAGGGTTTAGGGTTTAGGGTTTAGGGTTTAGGGTTTAGGGTTTAGGGTTTAGGGTTTAGAGTTTAGGGTTTAGGGTTTAGGGTTTAGGGAGGGACGCCGAGTTTCATCGAGGGTTTGGGGTTTAGGGCTCTAGGGTTCAAGGTTCAGGGCTGTCGGGTTTAGTGTTTCGGGGTGTAGGGCGCTTAAGGGTTTAGGGCTTTAGGGCTTTAGGGTTGTCTTTCGACTGCAGGGTTTAAGGCTCTAGGTCCCGGGATTTTGGGTTAGGGTTGGTCTGAACAGGGGTTTAGAGCACCAAGAAAGCAGTACCTCGAGCTTGCCTTTGAAGGTATGTCAGGTTTAGGGTTTGCGGGCTCCCCCTTCAACTCATGACGAAGCCAGCGCAAAATCCGGATGCTGACGAAGTAGCCTCCTGACGATTCAAGGGGGTTTAGGGTTTAGGGTTTAGGGTATGAGTCGCTTCATACTTACAAGGAAGGTACACACAAACACAAACATGAAAACCCTGACAACCCAGACAGCCTTCAGTCCCTAAGTCCTAAACCCTAAACCAACAAACCCTAAACCCTAAGACCCTAAACCCTAAACCCTAAAACCCTAAAGCCCTACACCTTGAAAGCCTGACAAAACTGTCATAATTCGGTGCGAAGCTTGACAACAAGAATTGGAAGTCCTTGGGACAGGAAGCGCCAAAGAAGCGAAGGAAGAAGGCGAGCAAGGCGCTGCCGCAGCCCGGAGTCTTAGGGCTTAGGGGGTTCAGGGTTCAGAGTTTTAGGGTTTAGGGTTTAGGGCTTTAGGGTTTTAGGGTTTAGGATTCAGGGGTTTAGAGTTTAGGGGTTTAGGGTTTTAGGGTTTTTGGGTTTAGCCCGAGTTTGCAATCCTACCCTGAACCTTGAGACCCAAATCCCCAGGCCTTGAACCTCAAACCTCCGACATTATTGCCCAAACCTCAAGCTCTAAGGGTTTAGAGTTTTGGGTTTAGGGTAAGGTTTGAAGCCTACTGGGGAAGTGATTTCAGGTGTGCCGGGTGACGGGAGTTTAGGGTTTAGGGTTTGAGCCCTGCGGCCCACTGAGTATGAAACTTAAATAAACCCGACAACCTAAGTACGAGGTCTTTTGGATCCCAAGTATGTCTTAGTTGAGTACTTGGGTCTTTATATTGTGGGCAGAGCAGGCCAATGTTCTCATTGACTTTCAACTTGGCCAGGGGAAAAGACGTTGGAGCTCATATGCAGAGTGATTGTCATCGCCGGGTTAGACGTGGTACAGACCATTATCGCCGGTAATGTAGAAGCTTAAATTATCACCAATATTTTTTTTTGCGGGGGGGCTCCTTATAATATATAGATTATAAAGGAGCCAAAACCTTATTAAAAGAACCCTAAAACCTAAACCCCAAACGCTAGGCTTCTATATTTCACCCCGCTTATGTCTTGGCGGATGTTACTTCTCTGTGGCTTCGTCTTCTTGTGTAGTGACCAGCCCAGTGCTGGCAGGGGCCTTCGCTGGATAGGGTTTAGGGTTTAGGGGTCTTAACTTCTTTGAAAGGAGTTAGCTTTCCATCAGCGTGTGTGCACATGTAAAAACCTATGCAGTCAGAAAGCATGGTGCATGTCACGTAGGTGTTGCAAAATGGCAGGTTGATTTGACAGAACACCAGGTTTTCGGCAACCCGATAGCCGTCAGTATACGCCATCCGTACCGTCTCTTGCTGTGCGTAGGATGCGTCTCCTTACCATGTATCTGTCCCTGCATTTATCTGTTATCGATCACACCGTCTGTCTGTCTAAACTGTAAATCGAGGTAGCCGTCCCGTTAAAAGCTTCAGCTCAAAAACCTTCTATGCAATGGTTGGGGGGTCCGTTATTACTTATCATTTGCTGTTTATAGTCTGTGTTTCTACACGTCGCATACCCCAAACATATCATAGGAATCGAGTCAAACTGGATATAGAGGATGTCGTCCGTGGTTGCTGCAGTTATCCTGGTAACCCAGCCTGAACTGTAGCATGTTTGGTTGGTTTAAGAGCTTGACTAACAACATGTACAGGTCTGTGTCAATGAACCATATGAGTCCTAAGCCCCTAGAAATTGTAACTAACCCCTAGACCCTAAACCATAAGCCCTCATAAATCATAAGCCCTACATAGAGCCCTAGAAATTATAAGCCCTAGACTCTAGACCATTCCTTGCTGCTGTACCGCCGCCTCGAGGTGACATCGGCCAAGAGAAAGGCAAACAAGAGGCAGAAGGGCCTGCCTGAGGCGAAGCTACCGCGGCTTGGGGTTTGGGTTTAGGGCTTTGGGGCTTCGGGTTTAGAGTTTGGAGCTTGGGGCGAAGCAGGACTGCGGTGGTTTTAGGGTTCAGGGTTTAGGGCTTTAAAGGGGTGTCAGGGCTTCGGGAGTAGAGGCTACTGTTGATATAAATTAACTTAAAGGATTAGGGTGTAGAGATTAGGGATTAGGGTTTAGGGATTAGGGTTTAGGGTTTAGGGATTAGGGTTTGGGGTTTAGGGTTTTTAGGGTTTAGGGCTTAAGGTTTAGAGATTAGCTGAGGCGAAGCGCTGGGCTACATGCGCCGGGATATCGGAATTTGGGTGATTTGAGTTACGGGTTCTATGTTTGGGTTCTAGAAGGGTGTGGGGTTTACTGCTTGTCTCCATGATTATAGTTCCTTGTTGGTTTCCTTGCTGTTCCCGGATCCTAAACACAAAACTCATAAAACGGTCTCACGAGAGGAGGACCTACCAAAAAGCACTATAGCAGGTAAGGCTCGGTGTCTATGGTTTTCGGTTTGGCGGTTCAGGGGTGAACCCAGGGGGGTCCGTTTACACTCCCACCAGGCCCCAAAAGACCATCCCAATAATCCCTAAGCCCTGAACCCCTAAACCCTAAACCCTAAACCCTAAACCCTAAACCCTAAACCCTAAACCCAAAACCCTTAGCCGTACCCTAACCGGGGACCTACTTCCTAAATAGCAGTATGTGCGGATCCCCGGGGTCACGGTCGGAAAGAATGCTGCCAAGACCTAAACCCCAAGCCCTCAACCCTACCTGGACCTACCAAAACCTACTTTTTTGGTCGGATCCCCATAAACCCTAAACCCTAAACCCTCAACCAAAACCCTAAACCCTAAACCCTAAACCTCCATACTAAGGTTTGCAACAAGAGCCTCCAAAAAGTAAGGTAAGCCCTGAGTCCGGAGCCCTGAACCTCACAGCTGACGATATCAAACCTGCACTGCCCACAATAAGGAGTATCCCATAGTTCCCACAGTTTAGTAGGGTCCTTAAGGTAATGCCTAAACCCTAATCCCCAAACCCTAATCCCTAAACCCTAATCTCTAAACCCCAATCCGTAATCACTAAACCCTAATCCCTAAACCCTAATCCCTCATCCCCAAACCCTAATCCTTTAGGTTAATCAAACAGTAGCCCCTAGCCCTGTTGGCCGTGGCCGTCTCGGCCTGTTCCCTGTTGGCTTTGACTGCCGGAGTTCGTAGGAAAGGGAGATTTCTGCCTGAACTACTCCAGCCAACGGTTTCGGGTTCAGGGTTTAGGGCTGAAGGCTTCAAGGTTTAGGGTTTAGGGTTTAGGGGTTTAGGGTTGAGCGAAAACTAAAACCTGAGCCCTAAACCCTGCCTGTCTGCACTGCTCCAGCTAACCGTTCACCACAGGGCTGGGAAACAGACTGTTTTTGGGGATAGCCCAGACCTGAAAGCCGCCATGCCTTAAGCCCGGGCATGTAACGAAGCAGAACGATCCCTGGTCGAAACTTCTCGACGAAGATGTGTTCTTGCTTTTCAGCGACTAGGTTGTTAAGTAACCATTGCCCATATGTGCTACTGTTTTTAAGTATTTCATAGCCTGGGACGAGCAGCAGCACCTGGAGGTCTGGAACGCAGGGGCTGGAGCGGAGGAGCCCTGCAACAGAAACCCTAAGGCTCCATGTATCCATATAGGAGATAACAAAGCCTTAAAGTACCTATATAGGAACCCCTTTAAGGCCTAAGTATCTACTATAAAGGTACATGGAGCCTTTGGGAAAGGGCGACAGAAGCCGACCGAACTGCAGCTGCCCCGGACATCGGACATGGACGGGGACCAATGCGACATCGACGAGGACGACCTATCGGGGACCGACGCAGACAGAGGACGTCGCCCAGACACAGGGGAAAGGAGCCCCTAAACTAAACCCAAAACCCTAAACCCTAAACCGACCGGCTGCGGCTACACCTGCTGCACCACCACAGCAGTTGACGTGGCCAGTCCCGGAGCTGGCGCCCCGGCGCCGGGCGGGCGAGCGCTGGACCGCCGGCGTTGTGTTGGGGCTTCAGATTGTGTCCGTGGTTTAGGGTTTAGGGTTTAGGGTTTACTGGAATCCCAGAGATTCCAAAACCCTTTCATGAAGGAATATACCTTAAATTATAAGAGGATCCCCAATATGATTTAAGGTATATTCCTTAGTTAAGGGGTTTTGGAGTCTCTGGGGACTGTGTCCTTGGCGGCCTAGACTCGAGCATGGAATGACGGACACAAGGTTTAATGCTGAAGTTGCAACCTCTGGGCAGCTTCGCGTAGGCTAGTGTGCTGAAGCAGCCGCTTCGAGTCTTCATCATATCTGCATGGACTCCAGCCGGGTTTGGGGTTTATAGGGTTTAGGGAGAGATGTTGGGTTTATGCTTTTTCATGTTTGTGTCAACCCTTAAGGGGTTTCTGGGCTTTCGGCACTTATTGAGTCTCGAACTCCTGCCAACTGCGCAAACTTCGCAAGCATCACCCTCAGGCCTAAACCATCCTGAACCCTAAACCCTTACCCATAGGCCCCTTAGTAGTTCCTTTTTGGGATTACCTTATAGGATTCTAAATATGAACCCCCCAAAAAAACTACTTTAGGGCCTATGGGTAGATCCACAAACCCCGTAAATCCCTAAACCCGAGAATCAGGCCAGCTGCGGTGGCAAGAAGCTCACTGTAACGATGGAGAAGGAGGACAGTCGAAAGCAACACTACCCATAGGCCCTAAAGTAGTTCCTTTTGGGGATTCATATTTAGAATCCTATAAGGTAATCCCAAAAATGAACTACTAAGGGGCCTATGGGTAGGATCTCAATCGCCCACAACAGGATGCATGGTCTTTGCGTCGAGAAGCCCAAAGCTGACGTGTAGGGGCCTTCCCTTTAGGGTTTAGGGTTTAGGGCTCATGCCTGTTCCGGAGGATTCGGACGACGAAGAGTTCGATGTCGAGATCACAGCGCCTGCGTGATGCCGCGCATGGCAAGGGGCAGAGGCTCGGCGTTCGAGCACTCTGAGTGATCGAATGTAACATAGAGGGGCCTGGGGTTTAGGGTTTCAGGCTTTAGGGAAGTTTAGGGTTTAGGCCTGGGGTTTAGGGTTTCAGGGTTTAGGGTTTCAGGGTTCAGCTCCAAACAAGTCAATCCGTTGACACCCCTTAGATCCCCCAAACCCTATAAACCCTAAAACCCTCAACCCAAACCCCCGAAACCCTAAGACCCTCAACCCCTAAACCCCTGAAGCCTAAACCCCTAAACCCCTAAACCCTAAACCCCAAACCTTAAACCCTAAACCCCTAAACCCTTAACCCCTAAACCCTGGCCCTAAACCCTGAACAACTGAGCAATGCATCCTCCAAAACCGAAAGTTCGATGCTGCCGACCTATGAATTCAGAGCTTCTCGCTTAAGGTTTAGGGTTAGGGTTTAGGGTTTCAAGG